CTTCTTCTTTCTATAAATGACAATCAATACATGTCTATTTATTTAATTGATATATATATATATCATCATCATCATGTCCTGCCAACTGGCGTAGGCACTCATGCATCTCCACAGATCCCTGGTTGCCCATCCAGCATCATCTCTCTTGGTCTGCCTCTACCCCTTTTTCCACTGATCTTTCCAGTTGTCACGATGTTCTCCAATGTCTCTCTTCTCATTATGTGGACAAAGAACAGTGTTTGTCTCTTTCATATATATATATATATATATATAGGTTTCATTAAAAAATGACATTAAAATAAATGGGGTGCCATCTCCAGTGTGAAGGTTAGTTACAGTGTACCCACTACAATCTTTAAGAATATCATAACAGCCCAATCTCTTCTGTGATGCAACTTTTGTAGGTTGTCTTCTTCTTCACTCACTTTTTTACAGCTTCGGGTGTCAAGTGAGACTTAAAGTTCTGCTTCTTGCCACCTCAACTATAGACACACATCATGCTGTTGTACAGTTTCTCTGATGTTGCCTCTCCATCTTGTTCTTGTTCTACCTTGTTCTCTATGCCCTTCTCTTCTTTAAGTGTATGCTTTGCACGGTATGGTGTCCCAGGGCATCCTCTCTATGTAGAAAAACTATTTAACTTGTAACATCTTTCTATGTAATTTAGAATTGGTTCTGTGCTGACTTTTTCTCTTATGACCTCATTTCTAATTATATCTCTTTTTCAGTCCCTCCTGCAGCCCTTCTCAGACATCCCATTTCTATTGTTACTACTTTTCTTTTCTTCTGGACTGTTGTGGGTGACTATTAGCACTTGTAGAAGAGGGTTGGAATAAGTATACGCTTTGTATGGAACTCTTGTATCACTTTCCAAAAACTACAAGAGTGGATTTTGATAAATTATTAACCATCAACCATGCAAATTGAACACTAACTCTCAAAGATCATTAAACTGTTGAACACATTCACTAATCTCTGAACCTCAGAGCAACACCACATCTCAGATATGGGATCGAAGTTGGTGTGCATCTGCCTGGGGAAGGAACAAACAGTCTGCATAAAAATAAGACAGATCTGTAAAATGGATGTACACACAAAACTAAAAGTTCTGGAGCAAGACTAAAGTCCAGAAGCGGAGAAACAACCAGAACTTTCCTCTGATAGGAGTTTACAGCCAGTGAAAATAAAGAAGAAGACAACAAATGAACTCCAAAAATATGGCAGTTGTTTATTATTGTTTTAAAAAATGTCTCCAAATGCAAAACTGAAGCACACAATAGTGGTGGAAAAATTATATTATGGAATGAAAGAGTATGTTATTAATTTTAAGAAATATCTGTTAACGTTAAAATGTATATATTTAATAATCACAACCTTTAGTTTATGAAGAAATTAGAAAAGGTAAATATACACATGAGAATCTAGCATTTCATAAAAATGTATTGTTTGTAAAGTCTTGAGATCACACATTCTGTTTGTGATTTTATTAAAATCAGAAATATATACAAAAAAATATGAGAGAAAATAGAAGCAAAAGGCTTTAAAATATTTGTAAAATATAAATAAATTGTTATAAAATGAAAGAGAGGGAGAGCTAGATACAAACATAGTATTGAAAAGAGAATACAGAGAAAGAGAGAGAGAGAGGGGGGAAGAGAGAGAGGGGGAGAGAGAGAGAGAGTGAGAGAAAGAGAGAGCTAAAAAAGGAGAATGGGACAAGACAGATACAGTGAAAAATTGAGAAAAAGGAAGCGAGAGAGAGAAGTAAGAAACAGCGAGAAATAATACAGTAGACATTGAAAGAAAAAGCCAGAAACAGACAGGAGAAAAATTAAGATAAACTCAAATACATTAATCTAACCTACGGCATTTTTATAAAACAAGTCTCAGCACCTAATGGTTAAAAAAGGTATATTCAAATATGACATGCTCATCAACCCATAACATGGGTGCTCAATATTACAACAATACTGACATACTTTATATAGGTGATAGAATAAGCAAACATTTACAAACATTCAAAGTACCGTCACAGAGAAACATAGGCAAGATTGTTTATATAAGAACACTTTGTAAACATGAATGGAATCTTGATTTCAGTTTGATATGTTGAAGAAGTAATCATTCATAATTGATGTTAGGCACAAAAGGTAAAGTTATAAAAGTCACGTTGAGGATTTCACAGATACCAGGGTATGGATTTTCACAAGCTGAGTAGCTAATTACACGATGGCCTTGGCTTTTAGGTTGACCTAGGATTAAGTGGGTACAGGGTAAAGTCCTGGGAAGTGAACGTGGTTGGTGTGATGCTGACCACATCACCCAATGAGTGCTGTAAAATATAAGTCTAGCCCTATTTGCCCAAAATGCCTGAAGGCGTGGAACCGGGGTACTTGACTTTTATTTAACTAATTAAATTCTTATTAATATTTTCTCTCTCTCAACACAAAAGAAAGAATTGCAAACATTTGCTGACTCAGGATACTGAAGCAATTCTATGAATGAATAATGAATCGAGAATTTGTGTAACTGCACTCCAGTATTCCCACATGCGTGCAGTCCTCTTTCTCAGTAGCCAACACAGAGTCCCCACATCAAGTTATGGATAAGTGGAAAATCCAAGGCTGTAAATACCAGCACAGTATATGCATAATATACGTTAAAGTAAAATCGCCAACTACATAACATCAAGAGACAACAGATCACTTGGTTTGGATATGTGTCACGACTATCACCAGACAGCGCATCACAGAGGCTGTAAATACCAGTGTTGCCACTTTTCTTTGACTGAAAAACATCCAAAATTAAGTCAAAAAATATCTAAAAACATCTAAATGTGCGTGGAAAGCATCTAGAAAAAACATTTAAATGAAAAGAGTCAAAAATTACATGGCAATTGATATGATTTACCCTATAGAATCATGTCCTCATCTTTACTGAAGTCTGCCTTACAAGATCCACAGGATAAACATAGCTTGGATGATGAAGTTAAAGCTTCAGATCCAAAATGACTCTGGTATGGTTTAGCTGTTTGAATTTCTTCTACTACTCAATCAGGGAGCTGATAAGTGGAACAGCCTTTTTCTACTGTAATCAGGCCACATTTTATCGTCAAGATAGCATTTAAGAGGTCAAATTTCATCCTGTTTCTTAGGTTAGATTTGATAAATTTACTCCAAAAAAAAAATCTAGAGAAACATCTACCATCTAAATGTCAAAAACTCCATCTAAATGCAAGGGAAAACATCTAAATCTGGATGTAAAATATCTAAAGTGGCAACACTGGTAAATGCCAGCACAGTATCTACATAGTGTACAGCAAGGCATAAACCTAGCGCCTTTTCCAAATCTGATGTTGGAGGCTAAAGAGGACTAGAAAAGAAGTCAAATCCCTGGGGAAAAAAACTGCATAGAAATGGGCCTCATTTAATAACGGAAAAACAAGAATCTTCTTGTTGTTTGTGTTCCCACCAGTACATCATACAAGCGATAAACACCAGGTGACGCAAAGTACCACCGTGCGGATGAGGATCACATGTGGAGAGGTCCCGTAAACCCCATTCAGCCGCTTGGGCCATATTTATGACCCGGCTATATTCAGGGCCCCTGGCGAAAGGGAGGGTGGGGCTTCAAATAACGAAAAATTGCATCCCACAAGGGGACGACTGAATACAAGAACCTTCCATTAATTCTTTCAGTCTCAAAAGGACCTAGGTAACGTCAGAGGGAGTTACGAACGGCAATAACAAACTCATAATACTTTCAAAAGGGGCAAAATATATAACAGTTGCAGGAATCAGATATCCTTTCAGAGCCGCTCACTAAACACAAGATTTAAAAACGTGCAAAACAAGCAGACCTGGATACATGAATAATAACCAAATCATGCAAAGTGTGCCGAGGAAAGAAGTAGTTAAGGGAGCTAATTAATCTCTGTTTATTTACTGACACTTTTATCTGTGTTGTAGCAGAGTTACGTATCTTGATGTAACAAAATTTGTGATTACAGTTATTGTGAGAAAGGCCGATTAAATAATAAATGCTGAAACTGGCAATTCAACAATTATGGACATATTGATGGTGAGCATTACACATTTATTTACAGCGCTTCAATATTAATAACTAATGGAGATTTAAATTTAAGACAGATCTATAAGTTATGCACGTTCAACATTAACATATTTAAGGATGCGTGACTAATGATGTATACACATAACAGTTGCACCTAGTTAATACCCAGTGAACTGTTAGGGAATCCTATTAATAATTATTTAGAGGCTTAACATGGTATCTGGGATCGCCACTGAGGATGTAACTCTTCCAGTCACAGTTAGTTGTGTATCCTTTACAGGACATTGCAGAACCAACCCCAGCATTTTTTGGCTGTTGCGGTTTTTCTAGGCAAGTTTACACCCAGTTATTAGCCACAGCTTTCTGGACTGTCGGCTTCTCAATACAACTGTCAAAACCAACACAATGCGCAAGGCCCGCAGCTGGGATCGAACCCGGCACTCTGGCATTATGAAGCGCTTTGGAACACCTAAGCCACAGATGACGACTCCAGTCACAGGAGTTGTAAAATATTTTGTTAGTTGCCCAGAGGGGGTGGAAAAAAAAAAACATTCTCATTTTGAGAGTAGGAGTTTAAATCTTTCTAAAATATTTTCTAGCAAGTCCTTTAATTTGTTTATTGTTTCCTATTTTATGAGAGCCAACAGAGTAATGAACTCACCTAATACTGTGAAGCTCTCATAATTCCATCAATGTTTATTTTCTTGAAGTTAAAATGTTAATTTATAAATTTAAAAAAAACATTTAAACAAGAAGAGGAAGGACTTTGAAAAAAAAAAAAAAAACAGTTCAAAACTTTAAAACAAAATCTATATAAATATACAATGATCAAAGAGAAGAAGAAAGCAGATAACGTAATTTTAAAACAAGCAGAGTAAAGTAAACAACACAAGTGGTTACAAATGTTATTTGTGTAAAGGGGGGATGTTCTAGAGCTGCAGAAGAAGGGACTTCATGTAGCCGGCGGCTGCCAGCGCTGCGTAACTCATCCACTCCTTCTTGCTTCCATCCTCGTAATCACACATCCCTGAAAAAAAAGCCAAACAAAAGTAAAGAGAAATTAACTCTAAAGGTTTCAAGGCAAGAGGAGCGACTTCATTACACTGCGTTTTAGTCTACATAGCTCAGTCTCTGCAGAGATGTTGAACCCCCCCTCCCCCCCCCCCCCCCCCCCAGAACATCACACAAACCACCACAGCCTCAGGGATCTGCAAAACATCCTCCTACCTTCATACCTATAATAGCACATTGCTAAACACACCCAAATAAAAGTAAAGAGAAATTAACTCTGAAGGTTTAAAGGTGAGAAAAGCAGAATAACTGCACTGGGTTTGATCACACATGGCTTAGTCTCAGTAGAGATGTAAATCACACCCCCCCCCCCCCCCCCCCGAAAGTCACACAAAGCACAAATCACCGTAGTCCCAGAGATCTCCAAAACAGCCTCCTCGCTCTATCCCCATAATGGCATATTGCTAAACCGACCCAAATAAAAGTAAAGAGAAATTAACTCTAAAGGTTTAAAGACAAGGGAAGCAAAAAATCACTGCACTGGGTTTGATCCCACATGGCTTAGTCTCAGCTGAATGGCTGGTCATCACCAAGAGTGCTGCACAAAGCACTAAGCTCTGAAGTTCCAGGGACCTCCAGGCCAATAGCACTAACAAATTGAAGGACAGGGTATAAACTTGACCCACAGCTTCAGAGTGCAGGGTTAACAGATTAACCACTTCACCTTCTAAAGCAGTGTTCTTCAACTGGAAGATCCTAATGGACTACCAAATATTTCTGCCGAGTCATGTTTGTTTCTTAACTTCTATTTTTTTTTAATTTTTATTTTTTATTTTTGAACAAAAAGAGTCTTATGATAAATCTTTGGACCCATTAAAGATACAAACAGTGGGAAATGGAGAGTGAGAAGCAACAAGGAATTCATAATCTGTTTCAATCACCATTGATCATTGGCATTATGAGAGCTAATAGACTGAAATGACTGGAGCATACTGAGAGAATGTCAGATGACAGACAGATAAAAACTGTGTATACAAGGGAGTTGAATAGTCGTAGACCATGAGGCAGACCAAGAAGACAATGTATAGATAACATACAGACAGACCTACAAACATTTGGTAATACTAACTGGAAAGAGAAGGCCTACCAGACAGTTGAATGGAGGCGGGTGATATCTGCAGCAATGAATCTGCAAATCGGAATGTTAAAGAAAAAGAAGATTTGTATTTAAAAAAAAAAAAAAAGACTTTCACAGCAATGTCAGTAAAAGAAACTGAACATTGTCATTAAACAGATGTTACTGCAGCACTTGATCTTTAAAAAACAACAATTCAGCCATGTATCAGATCTTTAAACTTTTAACCATTGACTGAAATTTTTTCAATGTTGTGTTGGGGGGAAGGGGGGGGGGGGGGGGGGGGGGGGGGGGGGGGGGGGGTGGGGGGGGGGGGGGGGGGGGGGGACGACCAATCAATTGCTATCCACATTTATTTTTGTTTCTAGTTTTGGTTGGCTGTCAGATAGTCCGTGAAACAAATTTTCATTATTCTGCTGGTCCTCGGGTATAAACAGTTTGAAGAACACTGCTCTAAAAAGATTAACTCTGCACAGAAACACTACAATATGTGTCTATGGCTGAGGCAGCTAGAAGTTCCAGATGCAGAACCATATATTTCCCACAACACCTAAACCAGTAAAAGATGACATAAAGAATCTTTTTTTGGCCATTACAAAAATGTAAAAATGTAATTAAAATTTACAAAAAAAAGTTTGCATTTGACTACATGTGATAGGGAAATTAGCAAGAGACAGGGATTTTCCAGTGGGCAAATAGAAGCAATGTTCTATGATAAGTTTTATTATTTTTGTTTAAAGTTTGTATCTTTCTTCTTCTTCTTCAGCATTTCTGAGCCACTGAAGTTTACTGCTGCAGATTTCACCCACCTCCATTCATCTTGTGGTCTCGAGGCATGGTGTCTGCCTCAAGTGCTAGACATTCCGAGTTCAATCCCCGGTAAGGGCTGGGATTTTTTCACGAGGACTTGGACTTCTAGTAACTCTCCCTGGTCTCTGGGTAGTTAGATTGGACGCCCGTGTGCACTGTTGCGCACGTTTAAAAAAAATCCCCTGGCAGTTGGAAATCGAAAAGAGTAGCCTAACGGTGCTGCCCGGGCCAAATTTGGAGTTTAAAATCTACCTTAAGTATTTCAGGATCTTCACCGGTGCTACAGAGTCTGTGCACTGTGCTGAGCTTCTTTGGACTCAGACTTAAGTTAGAAGAAGAACGGAGCACTTATGGGTTACTTCCTGTGTGCCATGATGTTGATCTGTTGTTCAAACTTCAAACATTTATCTCCCTGACAGTCCTTTCCTCTTCAACCGTTGACTCCAAGTGTTCTTAAGTCTGCATATTTATTATCCCTCATCATCTTCAATTCCTTCATGGTCTGCCTCATGCTCTACTCCCATTCAACTATTCTGTGTACAGTTTCTGTCTCTCTCTCTGTTATAAGTCATTCTCTCCACAGATCAAAAAAATTACTTATCACAGACCCGCCCATACTGGACTACTGGATACTGCATAACCATTTTAAGGTGCCCAAATATAACAGTAATATACGGCTATACGGTACAACGGGCGTTTCCAGAATATGTAACTGTTTGATTCTCATCCTTGAGATAATCACCCTTTAGTCTGCAATCCTAGGGAAAAGCCATTCCATACTATTATCCTCTTTGATGCCATTAATGAATGCTGATTTTAATGGATTACACATTTTTAAGTTGGATTTACCCAAGTTTTACTGGCCAGGAAATTAAACCCTTTTATTGCTGCAGATTTCACACAAAAACATAACATCTAAATCTGTGCGTAAAAACTCACCTAAAATGATGATGTAACTCTCACAGCGGTTTCCCTCAATGGATTCCAGAACAGCATCATGTTCCTGGTGATACGCCTTGATTCCGTTCATCTTTGCAAAGTCACTGCGGAGCGGCTCAGCACGTGCAACTCTCTGCCCACATCCAACAACACCGTATCTGTGTGATGGCATTCAACAGTAAAACATGACACGCTTTTCATCATTTTACATGAATATTGGCACCTGAGACAATAGATTACATCCTCCAAGACTGTCCTAAATACAACATTTCAAGGCAAAACTTCTGGCCAAGAGAAACACCGGTGCAAGCCAAATTTTAAGGGTCACTGAGAGAATTACAAAAGACAGTGAAGTTCAAGCTAGAGACAATATTGCAGATATAGATAATCTATTTCAAGCGATTGAAAGAAGAAGAAGCAGAAAAAATTTTCTTGATGTCCCTTCAAGAACAGGGAAGTATGTTTGCACTTAGTTACACGACAAAACAATACATCTATATATTTAAGCCCTGAAAGAATTAAAAGTTTGACAGAAATTACAATAACTATGCCATTCTCTTGTAACCTGTCAATATTATTCCTAAGGTTGTCAACAGCGTTAAGCATATGACATCATGGTGCAGACAAAGGTGGTGACAGTTTAAAGATGGCTGCCCCGCATTTAACAAGCACCAAAGAGACACAGCATCCTGTTATCCATTTCTTGATCAGGAAAATGTTCATATCGCTTTTCTGAAACAAAATTAACTGAATTAGTAGTTTAACTTTTACCTAACATTTGTCCATCCTTCTTTAAAGTTTTTGGCTGCATATCCTGTGGGTCTTGGATGCTCCACTTGGATAACTGAGCCATCTGGTTTTGTGTAAAAAAGCCGATCTCTCTTGATCATGGGTCGGTGAAAGTTAGACTCCTGCCCCCTAAGTATGTCCTTCCCTTCTTCAATAAACTTGTCCCAGGGCCTCTCTGTAGAAAAACTACTCTCCACCTGTAGACATAAATTTACTCATAAGTAACAACGACAAAACATTCTGCCATTAAACTGCTTCTGTTGTTCAGAAAGCAGCTTTGTTTCTGCAATTTGAAAAAAAATATATAACAATGAAGACTGAGTAAGTAAAGTGAAAGTCAAGTTAATGGCCCTTTGCCATGCCTGTGGGTGTACTGGGTATATAGGGCTAGACCTACATATTACAGACACATTGGCATTTGGTGGAGAAAGTGGTCATCACACCAGCCACCCTTATTTCCCGGAACTTTTACCTGGTACCCATTTAAGGCTGAGTCGACCTGGGAGCCAAGGTAATGTTTTAAGAAAGTCCAGATTTGAACCCACAACCTTTGCATCCATAGGTGAGTGTCTAGCCACTACACCAAGGTGGCTTCCTAAAGTACTATTAACTCTTTCAGTCCCAATCAATCTGTGTGTAACTGGCTTTTCTATTTGAATCTCAGCAACCATGTTTTTCTTATTCTTCTTCATCTTCTACTACTTTGGTTTTGAGGAAACAATCATGTTTTGGTCAGCGCCTACTAAAGAAATCTGGCTCCCCCAGTGGGCATGTTCACTGTGTATTTTGCCTCTAAAAGAGTCACCTACTTGTGATTTCACATCATGTCTCCAAGCTGGGCAACTGCTGCACTTAACCTCCTGAGAGAGTTAATTAAGAAATATGGATGTACAGTAAAGGGGATGATGATATGCATGTTTTCATGCAGCTATAAATGCTGAGAATATGGTGTGTATTCATCTACAGAGAGCTGAGTAATACAATTGTTTTTTTATCCGCCTTCTGTCCCAGTACAAGCTTGAAGGTGTGGAAAAGGATCCTTCATGCAACACCTAGCACCACCTAACGAAGGGAGACATAAAGTTTGATGTTGCTGTCACCTAATGACACCTTTAAAAACCACCAACTACATTTTCCTGCCATCCCATAACCATTTGTGACTTACTTATTGAATTCCCTCGTATGCTGTCATTTAATTTTTAGTAACGAAATAATACAGAATTTGTTTGCAAAACCACTTAAAATGAGCTTTTAATTAAATTTGACCTTTTCGCATACTAAGATTTTATTTCAGTTTTCCGAATGCATGGTTACATTGAACTTTCATAGATTTTCACTTATTTTCATTTTGATTTAATAATTTTGCCTGACATTGCGTTGGAATTTAGCTGTGTCATTTACCATAGCGTTCATTTTGAAATTATGGTGTATATTTCCTGTTTTTATTGCTTTTCACTTCTTCTTTTTTTTTAACCTACTTCGATAAGGGAAAGAGTAGTCAGTGAATTGGGTTGGGGGGGTTAACTGAGAGAGCTTTAGATCTCAGTAACTGCCCTGCCCATTTATAGTAGCAGCAGTAGTAGTAGTAGTAGTAGTAGTAGTTGTGGTTGGCCGGTTACATCGTAGGGCTGTCATGCAGGAGACCCGGGTTTACCCGCCGGTAAGGTGATTGAGTTTTTCTGTCCGGGGGCAAAATTTCACATCCTAACATGACCAGCCCGTGGCGATAGCACTAGCTATGCGGCTCCAAATCTTCTGGCTCACAACCCCCTGTCTACTCCGATGGTAAAACAGATAGTAGTGACATTAGTTAAGTTATTGTGGTAGTGGTGGTAGTAGTTGTAGTATTGGTACTTGAAGGACGGTGTGATAAATATTACACTGGCCTCATTTACTTCTCATTACAATTGCTGCTCAAGATCAGTTATAAAAAAAAATCATCAGGTGATGATTTACAAATCCTTGAGAGATGGAGAGAGCAGTAGTCAGTGGATGGGGGGAGGGGAGAGAGGGTGATGACAAAAATTGTTAACTTAGAGAGCTTAACACATGATTTTAAAGTTTGCATTTCTTAATTTGTTTTATTTTAATAAAGCTACCTCAGCTATTCTCTCTTCTTCTTTTTTTTTTTTTTTTTTGGTTATTTGCAAGTACAGTAGTAAGCTTTACTTCCATCTCTTTAAAAAATACAAACAGCTTTAGCATGTGATAACCAAATAACTATTTTGTAAAGTCCTAATGTTACAATTTAAATTAAAAGACTCTCTATATCTGCGCAGACAATGATTGCGACATTAACCATGTTAGACACGTGTGATTTCTATTTTCTTTCTTTTCCATTTAGCCAAACTAAGCCACAGCAACTCGTGGCCGGGTATAGCTAGTTATATTATATAATACTTTAAAAGGCTCTATGAAACAAATGCAATTGGAAATATATTTTTAAAGAAACTGCTTTTGTGAAAAATATGAATTTGTTGAGGTCCCTGCACATTCTAAGGCCCTGTACGTTATGACTTTATCCAGCACTGCGCGTACCTGTCTCTTCACCCTGTTGACTGCATTCAGAAGAACTTTCTCCCTTGGTGCCCAGATCCTGGTGGCATAACTGTAACCTGAAGCATTTTTTATCCTCTCAACCTGAAAAAATGTTTTTTGAAAAAAAAAAAAGGCATTAGTGTTTGAAAATATGACCGGAAATGAAAACAATTTAAAAAAACAAAACATTTAAAACTGTAACTATAAACAAACAGTGACTGGGTTTAATACAGAACTTAGTATGTCCTAATCCTAAACATCCTCAGGCGGGTACTAGGGCCTCATGTGGGGGGGGGGGGGGGGGGGTGTGTACAGACATACCCCCTCCCCCTTTTCAAAAAGCAGGTCATAAAAGTTGACACACCTGCTGAAATTAGATATGTTGGGCCGAAAGGCACAAATGTTGCAGCCTAGCTGTAAACCACAAAACAATATGCTAACTGCACTTTTAAGCGTGAATAAGAAGAATAAAGAAGAATATATGAAACTGATTTTAGATTATTTATATACTTTAACACCTACAGAGAGCCACATTGAAGAAATATGAGCACACAACAAGAGAGGACAGTATAAAAAGATGGAGCAAAAACAGCAAGAACACAATTAGAGAAATTAAGAATAATTTACATACTGCATTAGAAAAAAAACATAAGTTCCTTACATTTTCAGTGAGGTATGTGGTAAGGAAAGAGGAGGAAGAAGATAAGGGAAGTGGCTAGAGGAGACAAAGATTAAGGCAGAAAAGAAGAAAACAGAGATTATTGTTCAGCTGAATACTGGAACACAAAGAAATATTACTCGTTACAACAACAGTTTCAAGATGTATGAAAGAGGGACATGAATAATACAGGTATTGAGAAAGATTCAAGGGAACAAAATACCATCAATCATGTTGCCCGGAGAGGGCAAATTAGGAAGGGAATGAGAATGAAGGTAGAAATGATTGCACAAATGATGGGAGCTGAGCGTCTCAAAAGAAACATGTCAAATACAAATGACGGTAACAGCAGTCCTGAAATCCCGAGCTGTAATTGTGGAAAACTTTTCTTAACACGGGCGGGTCTTGCTAGTCACACTCACCATCGCCGTGGGCTATGAGTCCCATGCCTCTTCACTGTACAATATAAACACTATCATATGGAAAGATGAAAAGGTGCCCACAACATAAACAGTTTTTTTGACTGCAATCTCTTTTTCTTTACTTCTCTGATGTCAACATATGATCTTGTTCTTTGTTTAACTCATGCTCTACATCCCTCTCATTTGGTGTACGTCTTGTACTGTATGGTGTCGAAAGGCACTTTCTCTGAGTGAGCCAAAACATCTATTTGCTGTTTTTGTATGTTATTTTGTTTTTGTTCTGTGTAAATTTTTCTCCCTTACACACAAGCTGTGTGAAAGATGGGTGTCTGGAAGGGCCAAATGTAAAACCCTTTGTGGCCCTTTAAAAATAAAGTTTATTCGTTCGTTCCTGATTTTCCCTGTGTGGGTTCAGGGGCCCCCTTTCAGGGGAAAATAGAGTAGACCCACTAACCCAATAACAACTATGTTGTAAAACGACTAATAAACAGTTTCCTTTGAAATTGGAGTCCATCAGGCTGAAAAATTAGGAACTAATAGTCTGTTTACAAAACAAAACAAAAAAGGCATATCTGTAAAAATGGATCTGCATGCAAAACTCAAGTTCTGGAACACAACTAAAAAATTGTGGATGAACAAAATGAATTTTCCACCGGAGTTTACTTGAAAAAAAAAAAGAAGATTCATGATCTGCCTGCAATAATGACAACTGTTTTTTTTTCTAATTTTTAATCAAGATATATGCATATAAAGTGGACAGTAACCCCTACCTACCTTTGAACAGTAAACATAAATAACACCAGAGTCATCCACAGGGGTCGACACAACCACATCTCCTAGCCGCACATGCTGGTTATAGTCGGTGTAATGTGGCACGCACCGCCTACACCAACCAGTAACACATGCTGGATTTTGTCAAAGGTACCTGTAAAATAAACATAAATGAGTGTGTGAATGTACAGCAGTTCACTGCAGTTAGAAATGTTGAGAAACTGATCTTCATCATCATCTTCCTCTTTTGCTGTCAGCATTGTGGGGGAGATTAGCTGATGGCCCAGCGCTGAACTGGTGGCTCTAGCGTTTGTTATTTCATGTGAATCTTCTTCTTCTGTGTTCGCCCTTAACTCTTTCAGTACCAGAAGGCAGCATGTGGTCAAGGAAGGAGAGGAAAAACAAAACACTTATGGGACTGTTCTGAGTGCTATGATTATAAATTCTATTCACATAACTGCCTTGATGTTTCAGACAGTGTTTTGAATGTTAATGATTTTATGTCTTTTGACATGTATATTGTACACTAGTATATAAGTAACAGTGATTTCGTATGATTTAAAATTCTTAAGGAATTCTATTGTTTTCATTGATATTCTGTCGCTACTAGGACCCAAAATTACTTCCTTTCACCAGTTAACAATGTTGCAGCCAGCCACTGATTGAACACTGTGATGTAGTTGTAATGAAATTTTAAACAAAACAAAAAAATTGTTGAAAACTTTCATTAGGAAACCTCTTTTAGAATTAATACATCTGAAAATAACTAAGGTCGCACCCAGAAAATATTTCAAAACAACCTTTATGGTTTGATTTTGGAACAACTACTATTTAAGAGCATAAGGTTCAACTCAGATGGCAGTTTATCCACTGCTGAGGTTACCAGAATGCCTGGTAAGTGAACAAAATAACATCCAAAAAAGTCTGGTGGGTGAATAATTTACCCAAAAGTCTGGTGAGTGAATAACTTACCCAAAAGTCTGGTGGGTGAATAATTTACCCAAAAGTCTGGTGAGTGAATAACTTGCCCAAAAGTATGGTGAGTGAATAACTTGCCCAAAAGTCTGGTGACCGAATAACTTACCCAAGAGTCTGGTGAGTGAATAACTTACCTAAAAGTCTGGTGAGTGAATAACTTGCCCAAAAGTCTGGTGAGTGAATAACTTACCCAAAAGACTGGTGAGTGAATAACTTACCCAAAAGTCTGGTGAGTGAATAACTTACCCAAAAGACTGGTGAGTGAATAACTTACCCAAAAGTCTGGTGAGTGAATAACTTACCCAAAAGTCTGGTGAGTGAATAACTTACCCAAAAGTCTGGTGAGTGAATAACTTACCCAAAAGTCTGGTGGGTGAATAAGTTACCCAAAAGTCTGGTGAGTGAATAACTTACCCAAAAGACTGGTGAGTGAATAACTTACCCAAAAGTCTGGTGAGTGAATAACTTACCCAAAAGTCTGGTGAGTGAATAACTTACCCAAAAGACTGGTGAGTGAATAACTTACCCAAAAGTCTGGTGAGTGAATAACTTACCCAAAAGTCTGGTAAGTGAATAACTTACCCAAAAGTCTGGTGAGTGAATAACTTACCCAAATGTCTGGTGAGTGAATAACTTACCCAAAAGTCTGGTGAGTGAATAACTTACCCAAAAGTCTGGTGAGTGAATAACTTACCCAAAAGTCTGGTGAGTGAATAACTTACCCAAAAGTCTGGTGAGTGAATAACTTACCCAAAAGTCTGGTGAGTGAATAACTTACCCAAAAGTCTGGTGAGTGAATAACTTACCCAAAAGTCTGGTGGGTGAATAACTTACCCAAAAGTCTGGTGAGTGAATAACTTACCCAAAAGTCTGGTGACCGAATAACTTACCCAAAAGTCTGGTGAGTGAATAACTTACCCAAAAGTCTGGTGAGTGAATAACTTACCCAAAAGTCTGGTGACCGAATAACTTACCCAAAAGTCTGGTGAGTGAATAACTTACCCAAAAGTCTGGTGAGTGAATAACTTACCCAAAAGTCTGGTGACAGAATTCTCAGCTGCTATCATGTCACCTTCAGCATCCCCCATCTTGGTCAGTTTTGTAGATACCACGATGTGTTTGCCAATTTTGCCAATAGTATAAACTTGACACTCACCTGAAATATAAATACACAGACACAATGATGCACACAACCAGAGATAAAAAGTACTTGCACACAACTACATCTTTTAACAACAGTGAAAAGATGAAAACCGCAATGGTACATATGTGAAACAAGATCTATCTGTCTCTCCAAAATGATATTATAGGGGTCAGTAGAGGGAAGGATACAGATCATGAAGACCAGAATTTGCCTGAATTAAAAGCCAAATTATACAGACATTAAGTCCAGTGCACCTGATGTACAGAGTTGCAGGGGGCTGATCAGAAAGTTAACAGCAACTGGTGACCCAACAACTAGTGGTGCTGTGGGAATATGATACAAATGTAAAAAGTGTATTTTTTTTTAAAACTATTTTTTTTATAGAGTCCTAAAAAAAAACACTGCGTCACAGACATCGTAGGTAAGTAGAATGACCTTTCAGCCTTTAAGATAACCTCTTCTTCTTCTTTCGTTCGCCTGAAATAAGTTGTCTATTTCAGCAATTTTGTCTCTTGTATAAATTTCACTGTTGTTGTTAATTCATTCAGTGGTCCATAGAGTTTACATTCCACTGTTGTTCTTTCTGGCCAAAAGGTTTGCCTTAATGTGTCACGCAATGGAAATATGTCTAAGATAACTTATTAGTACATATGCCTCTCTGATGCAGAAGTCACAAATTTGTCCTAAATTATTATTGTTTTCGGCATAGTCTGCTATTCCATCCTTCACGTACATTTTTTACAGTTTAAACTTAAACATCTTTACATTCTTTTTATATTTTTACTTGTTTAAAGTTAATATTCCATTCTCTAAATATTTTATTTTTTACCTGTTTGAGCTTGATATATTATTCTAATCTTCATATATTTGTAACCATGGTTTAAATTTGACATATCTGATTCCTCATATATTTTATTTATTTCTGCTTTGAACTGGAAATACTATTCCACTATTCCTACATTCTTCTTAGAGAAAGGCTGCAATCTAGAAAAGATCATGTCAGAAAGGAAACAAATTAAAAGAACTGTTGGGACAACACCAATAATTAAATTCCTTGAAAAACAAAGATAAAAATTGTTTGGCCGTTTAATGATAACAAATCCAATGATGCCTGCAATAACAGTGTACAACAGGAATGCAGAAACACAAAGAGAAATGAGACAACCAAGAAGAAGAAGAGGGACTGAAAGAGTTACTGATACTTTGAGATTCCACAGCATCCCAATGTCCCAAGTCTCACGATAGATGGTAGAGACGTCAACAGAGAGAGCAAACTGAAGTATCTGGGAATTACATTTGACAGGAGCCTGTTCTTTAAGGACCATGTGGAGAGTGTTGTGACAAGATGCCAAAAAGGACTTGGTGCACTTAAGACTATGGCTGCAGTTGACATAGAGCAGAGAATACTTTTCACACTATATCAGCACCTGATCCTGTCAGTGGTTGATTATGGCCTGGGACTGCTTACCGTCTAAAAGAGTCAGGTGGACAAACTAGAGCGCATACAGAACGCGGCTATGCGGTCATTCTGGGCTGCACCAGAGACACCCCAGTGGTGTGTATGCGATAGATTCTTGGTTTGCCGACGGTTGCAGGTAGGCACAAGATGCTGCAGGCGAAGTCATATCTCAGGGTAGCTGCAGACACAGACCACCCTCTGCATGAAGCTCTGGGTGCAGTTAAGGGTCAGCGGCTGACAAGAGGGATGTCATGGATGACTCAGGCAGAAGATAAAGCTCGCTCAGAGGATTTGATCATTTACAGACGGTTTAGTGTCAAGAGGCAAAAGAAGTGCTTGGGGCTTCTTAGCAAAAGTTAATGGTCGACGTTTGGTGCAGGAGAGCCTAGCATATGATACCACAACATCCAGTTAAAGAATGAAGGTGGAGGTGGTCACTGCAGCTTTCTGCTGGCTAGAGAACACGACACACACACACACATCGTGATTGTAACTGATTCAGAAAGCATGCTGAGGAAGATCAGAACAGGCATGCTTCGTGCAGAGTGGCATGCTTCGCTACGGAGGACACGAGTGAGGAGTATTGTCTGGATTTTTTCACCGGAGACGCCGGTGTGTTGGGAAATGAACAGGTGGACATACTGGCTGGCTCTGCACAACTTGGTGGATTACTGATACATGATAAGGCAGACGTGGTTAGTGCCTTGTGGGAGAGTGTGTACAGTTTGAAGGAGCAGATGGATCACAACAGTCTGGTGAGATTGATGCAGTGGGGAGTGACGAGAGGTTCTGGCAGATGCTCGAGGCTCAGAGGAAAGGCAAGACGGACATTTAATCAGAATGCTATTGGCACCATTAGTATCGGAACTCTTCGCTGGCTGCTGAAGATGGGGACGGAGCGCTTATGGGAATGCCCCGAGTGCTGTCATGTCGGTTCTTAAATCAAATCAAACCACAGCATCCCAGGAAACAAAACTTGCCCTAGCTCGGATACTGATCATCTTGAATGTTAAATGTTGAATTAAGAATCGACATCACAGCACTCAGGTAAAAAGCAGGACACTCCCATAAGTGCTCAGTCCCCATCTTCAGCAGCAAGCGAAGAGTTCTAATTCCAATAGTACCAGTAACCGTCTGATTGTATGTCCGTCTCATCCTTCCCCTGAGTGTTGAGCGTTGGCCAGATTCCCTGGTAACTCCTCGCAGGGACATTCTCCTCAGACCCTAATGATCTCTGCACCTCCTCACTGTTTACTCGCTCCCAAAGGGCACTCACAATATCTAACTTGTCATACATCAATTCACCACCAAGTGGTGCAGAGCCAGCCATTCTATCTGCCTGCTCATTTCCCACCACGCCGGTATGACCTGGAGAAAATATACAAAGGATGCTAACTACCCGGGACCTCTGAAGTGATGCTTGCCACTCTGCACAAAGCTTGCCTGTTTTCACCTTTCTCAACATGCTCTGTGAGTCAGTTAAATCACGGCATATGTGTACAGCTGATTCTCAAGCCAGCGGAAGGCAGCAGAGACTGCCTTCACCCTCAATCTTAAACTAGACGTTGTGATATACTGATCATCTGTAAGCATGCAATAAGCACAAAGCAGAATACGGACAAAAGAATATTCTTACCCTCTGTTTTAAACTTGACATAAGTTCTCTTATCATCTATCATGGCATCTACAGCTAACTTCTCATGATACAATGTGGTAATGATTCCAATGGTTGGTTGGTCTTTGCTTGCTAACTCTGGCAGCTCTGGCACCAGAAGAATCTCTGAAACAGAAATAAAATACATGATATAATAAATGATTTACAGTCCCATAACAGTCAATGGGCTTGGTTGACGACACAGTGGTAAGAGCAAGGCTTTTTTTCATGTGTGATTTATTTTAGGTGGTCACACGTGTGTCAGAGATTCAACTGGCCAGACGGATATGTGGTTTCTCTCAGAGATACTTCATTCAGGTAAGTATTGTCTGGATTTTTTCACCAGATTACGCCTGTGTTGGGAAATGAACAGGCGGACAGACTGGCTGGCTCTGCACAACTTGGTGGAATACTGATACATGATAAGGCAAATGTGGTTAGTGCCTTGTGGGAGAGCGTGTGCAGTTCGGAGAAGCAGATGGATCAACACAGTCTGGTGAGATTAATGCAGGGGGGAGTGACGGGAGGTTCTGGCAGATGCTCGAGGCCCAGAGGAAAGGCAAGACGGACGTATAATCAGAATGCTACTGGCACCATTAGTATCAGAACTCTTCGCTGGCTGCTGAAGATGGGGACAGCGTGCTTATGAGAATGCCCTGAGTGCTGTGACGTCGGTTCTTGAATAAAATAAAATAAAATCAGGTAAGTCATTTTTTGCATTCTTGTACGTATCTGTGGAACTGAAAATTCATGTAATGTGTTGATGAAAGCTCTCTAGCTGCAAATTTCATTTGTCGTTTGTGGTTGTGATAAAGTGACTAGTTCTACTTTACATTTGATCTGATATCTTTCATAATTTTTGTTTTCTGATGGTACTCACTACTTTTTTTTTTTTTTTTTTTTTTTTTTAAAGCAATCTTTTTTTTTTCCTCTATGTATTAGACCGTTTGTGGTGAGTACCAGGACCTGATACTGAGGAAAAACAAAGCAGCCCCAGATAAGAGCTGAATTCTTAGAAGTGGCAGTTTTCCTCATCCCTATAGCTCAGCTCCGGAGCTGATTCATCATCATCAACAATCTGCAGGTTTTTTAAAAAACATCACTCAGGTCATGGCCCGCCTGACAGTCTCTCTTTCTCTAGCCAGTTCAGCCCTATGTGCTTCCACAGCTAGTGCATTTTCCATGCTTTGTATCCACCTTCATGGAGGTCTCATCCTGCCTCGTTTTCTGGAAACTGTACCCTCCATCACTGTTCTGCCCAGGTCATCATCATCATGTAGCATTTCCTTTGCAGAACATCGCTCTCATCACAGTCTGCCTGAAAGAAACTCGTTCTCTCGCCAGTTCTCCTGCCTCATGTACTTTCATACTCAAGGAGTCACTTATATCCTGTGCCCATCTTCGTGTCAGTCGGCCCCTCCCCCTCCTTCCTGGTACCATGTCTTCTGCTATAGTTTTATCCAATCCGTCGTGGCGCTTGATATGAACAAAATATTTCAGCTTCCGAGAAAGGATGCTGTTTATTAGCCAATCTTCCTTGATGTTCAGATCTTTCAAGATGTCAATATTTCTCCTCTTCTTTGTCCAAGATATTCTAAGAATCTTTCTATAGTATTTCAGCTCAAAAGCCCCTAATCTCTTTCTTAAGGACTGTCTCCCCAGGTACCATGGCTAAAATATCTCAACTTTTGGGAGAGGGTCCTGTCTATGAGCCAATTTTCCCTCGATGCTCAGATCATGCAGGATGCTGTTTTTGTGGGGGTTTTTTTTTTTTTTTTTTTTTCCATCTTCTTGGTTCAGGGTACTGTAAGAAATTTTATGCAACATTTTAGTTCAAACACTTTGAAAGCTCAAAAAACAATAATTTTAAACGTGTCCTTTTTATTTTGTAAAAAAAAAAAAAAAAAAAAAAAAGTAGTTATCTACATTGCTTAGATTTGTTTTAATATTTTTAAAAAATACATATATAAGAGAGTAATCAATCAAAATTAACTGGGGAAAGCACTGAATAGATTACATTTCCTGAGGCTTAAAAAAAAACATTCATTGGGTGACTCATGTCTTGACCCTGAGACCTCTTTCATTGAGGCTCACAGGAACATTTTATGTCAGCCTGGCTATTTAAACAAAAAGCTATTTATTTAGCTCAAAGACGATCCCATCCCACTCCACATGCCAAACTATCTTTAGTTACAAGAAATTGCACTTGTTACTGATCACAAAAAAATCTAAGAACCCACAAAGTTTTTCAAATGCCCACCATGTTCAGTCATTTCCTCATTTGTCTGCATCCTCAACCAAACTCCTTTTTCGACTTCCCTGATGAGACCTTTCTTCTCCATGTCCTTTAGCATCACCACAGCAGTGATTGTGTCTGACTGTTTGACCTTACAAGTTCTGCAACAGACAGGAAGAAGGATTTAACAATTTCACTTTACAAGTTCTGCGATTTACAGGAAGACAGTTTAAACAGTTTTACTTTACAAGTTCTACAATTTACAGGAAGAAAGATTAAACTGTTTAAATTTATTTCATAATTCAGAGTTTATAAACAGAATATTTAAACTGGTAGTGCAATGGGTAGCCCACTTGCTTAATGGCCAAGAGTTTGAATCCCCAACCAGAGAGAAATTTTTGCTATTAACCTGGACTTGTAGGCTGGCCCAGCACCCTGAATCTTCTTCTTTTCACTCTCCCAGCCAGTCGTTTTCAGATAAGAAGGCCACACACAGATCTTTATGAAGGCTGTAGTGCGACACATGTCAAATGATCCATACAGGTTGGTTTCTCAACAGGGATGCCTACTGGCCAGACATGGGATCTCTGTAACATGTCGAGAGCATGTCTGCAGCACATCTTCCGTATTCTGTGATGATGCCTGCCCTAAATGGGCAAAGTTCTGACTTAAAAAATCCACGCTGCCAGCAGTGGGTTTCGATCGCGGTACGTTGGAATTACAAGTCTGACTTGTAACGCCTAAGCCACGGACGCCACACCGAGTGCTTTTTGGTCTAAAAATATGATGCCAGTACCATACACTCAATATGCCATATGGTATGAAAAGAATCTGTCATATCCGTGCCATATAAGGATAGCTTTCCTATCACACAGTGAAGATATTTCTTTACCTCTAGCTCTGATTCACACTCTCTCTTTCTCCACCTCCCTATCTAATCTCTTTCACACAGTTCCTACTTGAACAAATCATCTGTCCTGACACTGTTAGGGTAAGCATCCTCCAAAACTTGTAGCATCCTCTGCTTTTTAGCCAGCCACAGAAGAGACAGCTTGATCTTGCTGCGTTTGGTTTCTGGTTTAAAATCTTTCTCATCTGAAAAAGAAAAAGAAAAAAAAAAATAAATACCCCAACAAATTATCAACTCGTTCGGTATCAATGTGCCACAGGTTTCTTGGTCACTCCAAGGATAAGACACTGTTTTTTATTACCATCTGTCACAGACAGACATTTATGTATCCTTTGTATCTGAATTATTACTCAAAGATCTGATGTTGAGGCCCCAGACAGATCACATCCGTTTCTTTCTTATCACTCAAAGATCTGATGTTGAGGCCCTCAGGCCAGGCAGATCACCTCTGTTTCTTTCTTATTATTTAAAGATTTGATGGTGAGGCCTCCAGGCAGATCACCTCCGTTTATTTCTTATCACTCAAAGATCTTATGTTGAGGCCCACAGGCCAGGCAGATCACCTCCGTTTCTTTCTTATCACTCAAAGATCTGATGTTGAGGCCCTCAGGCCAGGCAGATCACCTCTGTTTCTTTCTTATTATTTAAAGATTTGATGTTGAGGCCTCCAGGCAAATCACCTCCGTTTATTTCTTATTACTCAAAGATCTTATGTTGAGGCCCTCAGCCAGGCAGATCACTTTTGTATCCAAATGATTACTCAAAGATCTTATGTTGAGGCCCCTCAGGACAGGCAAATCACCTCCGTTTATTTCTTATTACTCAAAGATCTGATGTTGGGGCCCTTAGGCCAGGCAGATCACCTCCGTTTCTTTCTTATTACTCAAAGATCTGATGTTGAGGCCCTCAGGCAGAACACCTCCGTTTATTTCTTATTACTCAAAGATCTTATGTTGAGGCCCTCAGCCAGGCAGATCACTTTTGTATCCAAATGATTACTCAAAGATCTGATGGTGAGGCCCTCGAGCTAGGCAGATCACAAACACGAACTTGGGAAGAGAACAATGGCAGAGCAAGTGTGTGTTGTCCATCAAGATGATGATGACCACTCTTTTTCATCAAGTATGAGTACGGAGATGTCTGATGAGGCCGACGCTGGCCCGAAAAGTTCTTGGACAGTGAGAACAGGAAATGAGTGTTATGCCAGGGAGGGGGTCTCCTGCAGTCGCCTTTCTGTACATCCTTTTCTTAACTCTTTGAGTCCCAGGGGGTTTAGCATCAGAGGCCCAAGGGGTAGTCAAAAGAGATGTAAAATCGGCGCATCTTGCGTTCATTGGGCCTCTAGGCGGGACCTATATACGTATGATGCGTTCCTTGGGACTCAAAAAGTTAATAACAGAGCAAGTAAAGGTATCATTAAGGAAGACAATTGGGGTTTCTGAACTGAAATGCTATAGGATAATTTTCAGAATACCATGAACAAAGAAGAAAAGAAATAATGGCATCCTAAAAAAATGAACTTCAGGAAAGATTAGCGAGCTGAAATATTTTGGCCACATCAAACACTGTGGCAGATTGGAAAAAAAATAATAGCAGAAGATATGGTACCAGAAAGGAGAAGCAGCTGACGATGGGCACATAAGTGACTCCTTGGGTATAAGGGTGCACGAGGTGGAAGAGCTGGTGAGAGACCTAGTTTCTTTCGGGCAGACTGTGATGACAGCATCGTTCTGCAAAGGACCTGCTAAAGGATGACGATCTGAATTATTAGTTCACCTAGCTTTATCCCATAGTCTGCACAATTTATTGCCTGGCATATTTCGCTGTATCTCGTCAGGTGCATACTACAGTAACAATTCATTAAAATGAAGCAAATAGCTGAATCCTAGAAATTGAAACACAAATTTGAGTACATTTCAAACTGACGAGATACAGCGAAATATGCCAGGCAATAAATTGTGCAGTCTATTGTTTGTGTCTTCTTTGTTCAAATTCACATCGGGGAAACATTGCTTTGATTATCCCATAGTGTCTGTGTCCCTGAATATGCACTGAATATGCACTGAATATGCACTGAATATGCACTGAATATGCACTGAATGTGCACTGAATGTGCACTGAATATGCACTGAATATGCACTGCTTTTAATCTCATCTCCCTAGAATAAAAAAAGAGATAAAGTAAACTAGGCGCTTGGGACTTATAAAATTAAGTAGATTTATAATGAGAAACGGGAGCCATTGTGGTGTAGCTGCTAGATACTCGCCTGAAGGTCATGGGTTCAAATCCGCATGGAGCCAGATTTTTTTTTTTAATGCATGACTTTGGCTCCCAGGTCGACCCATCCGTAAATGGGTGCCAAGTTAAGTCATGGGAAGTAAAGGCAGCCAGCGTGATTTTCACCACACCATCCATCAAGGGCTGATTGTCTATAAAAATATGAGTCGGGCCATGTGCCCGATGCACCACTGGTTTGTAAAGGGGCCTTATACAAAGAGAAACCTACAAAGGAAACATTACTAATGAGAAAGATACTGTTTAATCAGCCATGATAGTGATGTGTATGAAGTTTTCCAAATAAAGTGTGCGTAGAAATGTCATTTACTTGGCTAAATCAATTAACTCTTATAGACCATGCTATGTGGCATTGATTATCATGTCTATTCACAGCCTTCTGTCTCCATCTTAAGCCCTTTATCCCCTAGTGGAGCATAGGCACCCAACTAACTCATGCAAGTCATCATATCCTTTGCTATCACATGCAACTCACCCCATGGCCTTCCAATCTTTTAACTTCCTCTAGTGGAGCATAGGCACCCAACTAGGGGGGGGGGTTCTGTTATTATCTCTATGCTTTTGTGGATTTAAGTATATAGACATTCTGCCTCCTGTCTGAAATTCTGCTGATCATTTCTGATACAGAAGCTTTCTTATGCCTCAATGCCATGGTAACATTATCCTCTTTGGTCTGCCTCTGCTTTTCTTCCACTCCAATTTTCCTGTTGATTTTCTCACTATTCTTCTGTAACACCACATCTCCACAGTTTCCTTCTCTCTGATCTGCTGGTGTACATTATTCACTTCTATGAATTAGAACTTTTTTCAAGTTCCTAAGTTACTTGTTGTTACTTGTTATATCAAGGCAAAACTTTTGATCAAGAGAAACATCGGTGCAAGTCAAACTTTACGGTTTCACTGAATTAGAAAAGACAGTGAAGTTTATACTAGAGACAAGATTGCAGATATAGATAATTTATTTCAAGAGAACGAAAGAAGAAGAAGAAGAAGACTTGTTGTCCTTATCAACATCCTAACAAATCTGTCTGTCCCATTCACACTCCATCCACTGACCTCAGTTTTTCCATGCTCACTGTACCCAGTAGGAGACTTGACACTAGGGAGAAATGGGACAAAAGGAGGACGCCAAGACAAGGACCTCTTGGGGGAAATTGTTTTGTACCTAGCCAACCCTTTGATTACAGCATTAGAACATGTTCTGTTTATTCGACGGATCAACATCATGGCACACGGGTGTAACCCACAAGTGCTCCGTTCTACTTCTAACTCAAGCCTCAGTCTTAAGAATCTCAGTACAGTGCAGGAACTCTGTAGCATGGGCTGGATCCTGAAATACTTTGGGTAGATTTAAAACTCCAAATTTTGCCCGGGTAGCGCCGTTGGGATACTCTTTTCAATTTCCAGCTACCAAGGGATTTTTTACGTGCGCAAGAATACACATAGGCATCCGTTTTTACCACCCAGAGACCAGGGAAAATTACTAGAAGCCCACATGAAGAAATCCCAACCTTCACCGCGTCTTGAACCTGGGACCTCCAGCACTCCAGGCAGACACCATACCTCGAGACCAATCATCCCCCAGCATTAGGACATGATGCTATCAGCAGAAGCAAAGTTCAGAAACAGCCTTGACCTAGCCATCTGCTGAAGGTTATTGCTAACAACTTTAGTAAGATGCCCTGGGACTTTCAGAGAAGGGTATGCTGGGAAGAATGATTATGAAGATTTTCTCGTATGTCAAGCAAGGATCCATCAGAGACTGGCCTTTATGTTAAAAGGCGCACCATAAGCATGTTAATGATGACTTCTTAAATATTTAACTATCATAAATAACACTCAAAATGTATTGTAAGGATTTATGAAAAGCGTAACATTGAAATTCAGAAGCTGTTACTATGTTTTGTCCATGGAACAACATTTCTTGTTTCAGTATAAAGTATGACATAACGATTTATATGAGTTTACCAAAAGAACAAAACTACATACCCAAAATCTCAACAAACTCCCACTGTCCTTTTGTTGCCCGACTTGTGGCAACAGCCATACTGTTGACCTTGAACTGGCGGTTTGGTGGCACATCCCAGGTTAAGAACTTGCCCTGTCCTTGTTTAGCACCTCTCCCCACTTCGACACGGCTTTCAGTCCAAGACAGCCAAAAGTAGCGAAATTCTAAACATAAAATTTATGTAGAATTTTTAAAGCAGGTTATCGTTGTACTTGTTTTTTTTGTCGTCTCACTGATACCAGACTGTAGCCCAGTGATGTGGTTTTCTGTATTTGTCTTGTGGTTTTCTGTATTTGTCTTGCGATTTTCGGGGGGCTTGGGTGGTGGATTCATTCATTTTCTTGCAGGTTTCAGCTCCACCATTTAGCCATCTCTTTCTTGGTCTTTCCCTCGGCTGCCTCCCAGATGTTCTGCTGTAAAAAGTCTCATAGGCAGTTTGGTTTGGATGCATTCTCGCTAGATGGCTGAACCATTTCATTCTTTGTCAATGCAATCCAGACATGGTCTTACTCCAACTTTCTCTCTAATGCTGGTGTTTGTAACCCAGTCCCCTCTTGTGTTTTTTATGAGCTTATGGAGGCTTCAAATTTCTGTTATTTTTTGTTCTAGTACCCTATTCATTTTTTTCATTGTTTAACTTAATAAAAATGTCATGTTTTTGAGTTCAAAGAGTAATATGAGGTGACCAGTGTGAGAGGTGTCGCCCGTGTGTCACCGGGGCCCTCACGGGAAGCAAAGAATAGTGACACTGCACCCTACCAGACATTTCGTTAGAGGCGACTAAGGGTAGGGTTGGGCTTGAGGTTGGCTACCTCATCCTGTAAAAACCATAGCCACAAAAACCAACCAACCATGGATAAGTCACACATGGAGAAGAGAGCTGGAGAACGAGGTTAGAAAGATTGGGAGGACATGGGGAGAGCTCCATGCAATGGCGAAGGATAGAACGACTTGGCGTGAGTTGGTTGAGGGCCTATGCTCCATTGGGGGATAGAAAGGCAGAAAGAGAAGAGAGTGTGAGAGGTCACTATCTAAGCAATGTGACTGCCCACAGGCAGTCTAGCAACAGACACATGCACATACTGTGTGCACAAATTTCTGGATTGTGCCGGGATAACTGTTTGGTCACCAGTTTTTCAAATGGGACAGTGAGAAACACTTCATTTGATTTTTCACTGGCATAGGAACGGAGCAAGTATGGGATGACTCGATTGCAGTGAAGTTAAAACCTCGACTAGGCCTGAACAGGGGCTGAACCACACGTGCTGGTGCACCAGGAACAGGGTTAATACTAGTCAGTCCATAATCAACCTAAGAACTCCCCGTGTGGGTTCTGGGGCCCCATTGTGAGGAAAACAAGAACAGACCCACTGCCTCCCCAAACAGCATGTCATATTAGTCGACTGATTGGTGGCTTCCTGTGAAGTTGGAGTGCATATGCTCGAGCAGCAAGGAACAACCAGCTGCACACAGTAAAACTGATGTCCACACAAAACTCAGGCTCCGGCACAAAGCCAAAGTCCAAATGTATGAACAAGCATGACTTTCCACTGGAGCTTACAGCCGGTGAACAAAGAAGAAGAAGAAGAAGATCATAGAAACAGGTTCCTAACCAGAAACCTGCCTAATGTGGATAGGATCAACGTTTCTTTTGAAGTCAGAGGGCATCTGTCTGCATACAAATAAGCCAGATCTGTCAAATGAATGTGCACACAACAACCAAGTCCTGGAACAAGAAAAATATCAAGAAGTGGTTGAACAACCAGGCCTTTTAATCCAGAGCTTACAGCCGCTGAATTCAAAGAAGAAGAAGAAGAAGACTGTCCATAAATTGAAAAGTAAGCAACTTTTCTCTAACCACTGACCTATCAGGAATTCTGTATTCTGTGCTAGACGGATAGTGATGGGCACATCTACACCCTGAGACTTTTCCTGGCATCCGCACTCGTGGAATAGGATATTTCACTAAACGATCTTCATTTGCCAACGAGTTTCTGTAGGTTTCACCCATTCAAGGATATAAAAAAGTATATATAATTGGAACACTGCATGTCAAAATTGCCACAGCCGTTTTTAAAACTGTCATCATGCTCATCTGCACCGTGGTGTCACATGCTTAACACTCCTGACCTCTTTAACAGCAAAAATGACAGGTTACAAGTTTAATGGCAATGTTATTGTAATTTTCGATCATACTTTCAGGTTTCCGCACCTAGTTACTGCATTATCATGGCTGCCTGGTGATTAATCCCTTTCCTTGCTACTTTTCCTGCTCGGACAATTCCCAGAAAATTATCCCACAAACATGTGGAACAATATCAAACCTTGACCTATGCACTATCATCCTCAGCTGTTGTGCCCTTATTTGTCACATAGGGCTCACAGTTTATTCTTCTATTAAATTCTTTCCTGTGCTTTTGTTTCAATATCACAGAAGGAATCCAGTAAAGTGCAACACCTTTGGCCTCTCTCGTCGACTTTCATCTTATGGTTTCTTTCCAATTTTAGTGCCTGTTTGGTGATTCTCTGTTCCCTTTTCCTAAGGATATGCCCAATGTACCATGACCTTCTTTTTCTTTTAGCTGTTGATACCATCAGTTGTCCAGACATTTCTCTTATTTCTTCGCTTTTCTTGAATTCATTGCATTTAATGCTCATTAACTTCCTCAGGTATTTGTTTTCTTCTTTCTATTCTTCTTCTTCTCTTCCACCATTTACCTCAGCGAGGTGTTGGGGGGAGATGTAAGGATTGTATGTGCGCTTTTTCCAATGTATTTGCTTTCAAATGTTTTTTCAAATGTCTTCTGTTTCAATCTTTAGTGATTATCCAACTTGCACTGCCTTATATTAAAACTGAAATAATGTTATAATTGAAAGTATGTAACTCAGTTTTAAAAACAATAATTTTAAACAGCCATAAAGGTCTGAAAAAATGCTGCCACTGCTAACAAATAACTCACCATTTTCATTTAAAAGATTGACAGTATTTGCCTCCGCTTTGACAGGGCCCAGGGATCCATCGCGAATGAACGACTTTGTGTTGTCCTCGGCACCCAGACAAATCTCAAAGGTCTTCCTCTCCACATCTCCATATATGGCACAGAGTGCTATCTGGGCATCACATTTGGCTTTGATCTTGAATGTCAGGAAGTTTTTGTTGTCTACGGCCACCTCGGGTACAAAACGATAACTGTAGGTGTCTGGGGTAAACACCGATATGAAACTTTCTGGGGAAAATAGATAATTGAAAACTAGTTAATTTTACATCTTCAGACAATATAACTAGGTTTTAGGTTTAGACGACGGATCAACATCATGGCACAAGGGTAGTAACCCATTAGTGCTCCGTTCTTTTTCTAGCTCAAGCCTGAGTCTGAAGAATCTCAGCACAGTGCATGAACTTAGTAGCAAAGGATCCTGAAATACTTTGGGTCGATTTTAAACTCAAAATTTTGCCAGGGCAGCGATGTTAGGCTACTTTTTTTTTTTTTGATTTCCAACTGCTAATCGATTTTTGTATGTGTGCAACAATACACACAGGCGTCCGACCGTACTACCCGGAGACCAGGGAAAATTACTAAAAGTCCACGTGAAAAAAGTCCCAGCCTTCACCAGGGCTTGATCCCTGGATCTCCAGCACACTACACAGACGTAGCCACCCCCTATGGTACAGCACCTGCAAGCAAGTTGAAGTAAGAATTTTGGGCTATCCTCCGACTAACGGTCGGCAAAGATGGCGGCCGCAAAATATCCAGCTGAGCCGCGGTCACGGGTCAACTGCGCGCTTCCGGCTTCCTAATTTGCGGTGTTCCGGTGGTTTTCCGCCAACAACCGCTATCGCCATGTGGCCCCCACGCCGCTCCCGCGGTGTGGATTGGGGCTAAACTAGATGGCTGGGACTCACAAGCAGCAGCTTCCGCATCTCCTGCAGCTTTGCTCGTGAGTCCTAGCCATCTAGTTTAGCCCCAATCCACGCCCCGTGAGTGGCGTGGGGGCCACATGGCGGTAGCGGTTGTTGGCGGAAAACCGCAGGGAGACTGCAAATTAAGTAGCCTGAAACGCGCAATTGACCCGTGACCGCGGCTTGGCTAGATATTTTGCGGCCGCCATCTTTGTCGACCGTTAGGAGGAGGATAGCCGAAATTTTGAGATCATGGCCTCTTACTCAAACACTGAAGAAAATTCAGAGCTTTTAAATAAACTGCCACAGAAAAATTCTTAGGGTATCGTGGATCAAGAAGAAGACCCAAAAATGACATCCTAAACGATCTAAACATCAAGGAGAACTGGCTCATAAACAGCATCCTGTCCCGAAAGCTGAGGTATTTCAGCTATGTTAAACATCATGGTGGCGTGGAAGGATGATGGAGAGAATAGTTTTGGAACATGATGCAGAGGCAGAACTCAGTGAAGATGGAAACAAGACACTCAAGATGTACTCACCATAAAAGCACATAGGGCTGGAGAACTGCCTAGAGACAAAGCTACATTAAGATAGGTGCTTTATTATTATACCTAACCCCAAACAGGGGAAATCCCAGGTCACGGGACAGCCTAATATTTCAGGGAGTGTTACATAGGCTGCATGCAGTTCTGGGACCTAGGCTGCATGCAGTCGTGGGACCTAGGCTGCACTCTCTTGTGGGACATAGGTAGGTTGGGGTTAGGGCCAGCTCTAGATGTCTTGGGGTCGTTAAAAGCATCAGAAAGCCGGGGAAACCCAGGCTTACCACCCTCTAAAACACTGGACTGTCCTGTGACGAAGTCTGTGATAGGATATTAATAAAGCAACTTAAGGTGTGCTGTGATGAGGGTGATGTTCTATAAAAGACCTGCTCATTAATGCTGATGAAAAACAGAAGAGATTCATCAAACATTTTAAACAACTATTTAAAATATCTCTGAACGCCCAAGAAATATTCTCGCGTGTTTACTGGTTGAAATATTTTTAAAATACAAATGCACGACTCACTTATTGGTGGCAGGTCCTCTTCTTCATCATCAGTTCTGTCACCTCAAGCTCCAGTCTCGTGATGAGAGTGTACTTCTGCAGCAAAACTAGAGCTCTCTTGATGAAGCCAACATACTCTAGTGAACATTGAACATGGTCAAGTATCAGTCTATGCACTACACTGGTGACACGGGTGACAAAGAGAAGAAAACCAATACAATAAATACTGCGATATAACATATGACATGATAACCATACAGTGCTACGTTTAACCTATGACATAACACTGCTACAATATAACATATGACATAACCATACAGTGCTACGATGTAACGTATGACACAACACTGCTACAATATTAATTATGACATGATAACCATACAGTGCTACGATGTAATGTATGAGATAACACTGCTACAATACAACATATGATATGATAACCATGAAGAGCAGAAAGGATTTTTAAGGCTGTGTGTTAAGTGGAGGAAAAGAGTCACTGAATGTTGCAGGTTGTTAGCACCTGCCCATCTTTCTAGTTCTCAGTGTTATGTTGTGCTATAATGAGGCAAGGGAATCACAGACCATCATGATGGCGAGTGTGACTCGCAAGACCCTCCCATGTAAAGAAAAGTTCCCCAATTAGTGCATGGAATTTCAGGACCACTGTTGACATCGCATATATTTGATCTGCTTCTTCTCAGAAGCTCAGCTCATCACACCTGCAATCATTTTCTCCTTTATTCCCATTTCCCCTCCCCCTTTTTTTTCTCCCCTCCATGCAACACGGTCCATGGCATTTTATTCCCACAAATCTTCTCAATACCTGTATCATTCACATCCCATTTGTATACATCATTACACTGTAGCAGAGGCTCAATATTTTCTACTATTCTGTCATTTATCACTGATGATGTCTTTAGGGATAGTTTTGTCGCGCCAGCTACTGAGTGAGTCCATGGCGTGACACTGTGAGCTGCGGATTTCATTTGGAATGTTTTTTGACTGTGACCAAGGTGCTGTTGTGAACTGTAGAATTAGAAAATGGCGCGTGGCCTGTCGCCGCAATATTGGTGGTGCCCTTTATATGATTGATATTGATCGCGTGCACAACTGCCGATTTGTTGGCGACTTCTGCTACCATCGATGATGAACTGCATTTCTGTTGTCAAACTGTTTGTTTTAAGAGTTCTGATCGCTATTGTATGCTTTTAATGCATGTGTGTGCTAGTGCATACGCTGAGACAGCAGTCTGTCAATCTTTCCACAAGGGACTGCCACAAACATTCTGTGTGTTTTTCATTGGCACAGGAGAGGAGCAACTATGGGGTGACTCATTTGCTATGAAGCTGAAACTAAGATTACTAAGATGTCTCTAGGGACTGCCAACTTTCATTCTTCAAATAAGACCTAGCCATCTGAGCTTTCAAAGACTGAGCACTGTGAAAATTTCCAATAACCTCAGTATTTGTGATCTTGTCTTGCCACTTAATGCCAAGCATCCTTCTTGTCATTGAGAGTTAGAAAAAGAATCCTTGCTGGCTACATACATCCAGTTTTAACATATGGCTGCGAGTCCTGGACAATCCGTAGGCAGGCCAAACAATTTCTTGAGGCCTCAGAGATATGGTTTTATAGAAGAATGCTTAAAATACCTTGGACAGCCAAAAAAAAGTAACCAAGATTTTTTTAAAGAGGCGGGAGCCCGAAGACAACTTATCACAGACATCAGAAGGAGACATCATTTTTCGACCATGTTATGAAAAGAGGGAAAATGGAACATGTTGTGACCACTGAAATATATATGGAAGAATGGATAGACAACAAAAGAAGATTCTTGACAGTCTTGTTGCATGGCATGCAGGTGTGTCAGCACACAAACTGATACATGCTGCAGGAGATAGCAGATTGTGGAGAGGCATGATCGCCTATGCCAGTCGGCAAGGCACCTGATGATGATTCTTCTTAGGCATTGTATGTCAAAGGTTATTTAGTTTAGCTCACTACATGAGTCAGTATGACACAGCATACATCAGGGCCATTTAACTGGTGACCCGCAGGCCAAATTTGCCTCGTAAAGGTCTAGCAAATGGCCAGGGGGATCACCTGGCAATTGGGTGCTTTATTATTATCCTACCCCAGATGATGTCACAGGACAGTCCAACATTTTAAAGGGTGGTAAGACTGGGTTCGTCGTTTTTCTGATGCTTTTAACGACCCCAAAACAGCTAGAACTGGCCGTAACACCAACCCACCTATGTCCCATGAGAGAGTGCAGCCTAGGTCCCACAACTGCATGCAGCCTAGGCCCCACGACTGCATGCAGCCTATCTACCACCCCCTGAAATATTAGACTGTCCCGTGACCTGTGGATTTCCCCTGTATGGAGTAGGATATTTATAAAGCACCCAATTGTATTGTATTAATTATTTGTCTATGCTGGTGATCCGGCTCCTGGCTATGTGACGGTCTCCATTTTCCCACATTCTGGCACCTGAGTCAACTCAGTTGAATCAACCTGGCATACATTATAAACACCTTGCACACATACAGACTGTCATAACACGAGATACACTGTGTACTCAATAAGAAAATTTCAGGAACAATGATTCTTTATAGGCAAGCCTATTTTGTGTATCTCACAACGCAGGATCTTACAACTAAAAGTACTCACTTCGTGGCAGAGATTTGGGACTGATCAGCTCTGAGAAGTACTCTGTGAAAGCTTGTTTTTTGGCCATTCCGTCGGCTTGACCTCGAAACCAGAATCTGAGTGTCCACAAATCCTTGCAACAACAACAAAAACCAGCACATTAGTAAAGTAGATAAGTAAGGGATCCTTTTCCATGCCTTTCAGGTGTATTGGGCATATAGGGCTAGACTTATATTGTGGAGACTAATCAGCAATCAGTGGGTGATGTTGTCAACATTATGCCGGCTGCCTTTACTTCCCAGGACTAAACCTGGTACGCACTCAACACTGGGTTGACCTAGGAACGAAGGTCACTTTTGAAAAAAAAGTCCAGCTCTGACAGGACCTGAGCCCACAACCTTCTGATGCACAGGCAAGAATCTAGCCACTATGCAACAGTGGCTCCAAGAACTTTTTGAGGCTCCTGCAGATTGAGGCCCTAAGCTGTGGCTTGCTCTTGCCTAAACCCAGCACTGGATGTAATTCTTGTTTCCTTGTCTGGACACTTTCTGCGCACAGCACATTGGTCAAGGATTAATTAACACTGAATGACTCCGTAGCAGCATTCACAGACACACACACGGGTGAGGAGAAGTGTCTGAATTTTTTCACCAGGTCATGCCGGTGTGTTGGGAAATGAACAGGCGGACAGCCTGGCTGGCTTTGCACAACTTGGTGGAATCATTATAAGGCAAACGTGGTTAGTGCCTTGTGGGAGAGCGTGTACAGTTCGGAGGAGCAGATGGATCACCCCAGTTTGGTGAGATTGATGCAGGGGGGAGTGACGAGAAATTCTGGCAGATGCTCGAGGTTCAGAGGAAAAGCAAGACGACATTTAATCAGAATGCTACTGGCACCATTAGCATTGGAACTCTTCGCTGGCTGCTGAAAATGGGGATGGAGCACTTATGGGAATGCCCCGAGTGCTGTGATGTTGGTTCTTGAATCAAATCAAATCAAGTCACATCACATACGAAAATAAAAACAGCGCAAATCTATCCCAATACCTGTATCATTCACATCCCCCTTGTATACATCTTTACACTGTAGCAGAGTCTGACCTCAATATTTTCTACCCTTCTGTCATTCACCACTGAAGATGTCCTTAGGGACTCTGCCATCTTCCATTCTTCAAGTATGACCAAGCCATCTGAGCTTTCAAAGACTGAGCACTGCTAAAACTTGAGCTTCGTTTTCCTGCATCACACCGGGTTCGATCCCAGCTGCAGGCCTTGCACCTTGTATTGGTTTCGACGGTGGCATCGAGACCGCAACAGCCCAAAAAAATGCTGGGGTTGGTTCTGCAATGTCCTGTAAAGGATACGCAACTATTTTTTTTTAAAAAATATGCCCAACAGACCTTAAAGTTCTGAAAAGGGCCCTTTACTTTACTTTTAGTTTTTTCTATGAGTGCCGATCCATACATGCCTACTTGTTTATTATATATACATTTTAATTACAGCCTGCATAAAAGTCTGTTTCCCCACTTCCTTCTTGCCATCTACAAAGATTTGTAACTGTCCTGTGTCCACTGCAGTCATTCTTGGCACTTTTGACGGACACTGTGGTTAACTAAATTGTTGAACTAACTTTTAATTAACTGACAGACAATATCAGACCTCATTCACTTACCCTAACACAAGCATTGTTCTGATCCGAGTTAATGAGATAGGCCATGAATTCCACTCTGCCTTCTGGAGGGCCAACATTGTCCAGCTCTACAGATGCGAAATATGTGAAGTCATTCACTTTTATAGGCATAATGTAGACAAATATCTAGCCAATAATGTAGATAAATATCTAGCCAATAATGTAGATAAATATCTAGCCAATAATGTAGATAAATATCTAGCCAATAATGTAGATAAATATCTAGCGAATAATGTAGATAAATATCTAGCCAATAATGTAGATAAATATCTAGCCAATAATGTAGAAAAATATCTAGCCAATAATGTAGATAAATATCTAGTCAATAATGTAGATAAATATCTAGCCAATAATATAGACAAATATCTAGCCAATAATGTAGATAAATATCTAGCCAATAATATAGATAAATATCTAGCCAATAATATAGACAAATATCTAGCCAATAATGTAGACAAATTTCTAGCCAATAATGTAGATAAATATCTAGGCAGTAATGTAGATAAATATATCCAGGCAGTAATGTAGGTAAATATATCCAGACAGTAATGTAGATAACTATCTATACAGCAATGTAGATAAAGACTGCCAAAATGTGTGGAGTCATGAATTTATGCATGAAGATGTTATTGGCAATGGTCCCCCTGTGGGTTCTGGGGTCCCATTGTGGAGAAAACAAGGATAGACTCACTGCCTCCCTAGCAAGCATGTTGTAGGAGTCGACTAATTGGGGACTTCCTTCAAAGTGGGAGTGCATCTACCCAAGCAGCAAGGAACAATAGAGTACAGACCAGAACACGCAGGCATGAGAGGCACATCAGATTCCCAAGAAGTCTTGTCAGCCAGCATAGACTGGCACTGTTAACTGCGGGAAGCTGATGTATTCAAGGAGGAACTTACGATTTGCCTGTTTGTTGACAAGTACTCCCTTGTATGGTTGGATATGTAATTACAATTCACATACATAAACAGTCTTTGATCTCTAACTCTCTCTAGATCTCTAACTCTCTCTAGATCTCTAACTTACGATTTGCCTGTTTGTTGACAAGTATTCCCTTGTATGGCCCTCCACCAATGTGATGAATTGTCTTAAAGTCTATGTCTTTTCTCTTCAGTCTCTCCATTCTCATCATAGCTTTGCCATTTTGTTTCACGGCTGTCATCACAATTTCTGTGGAGAAAAAATTTACAGATTATATTAACTCTTTCAACATTATCATCAACATCGTCAAGTGCCTTGCTGAGTGGCTTGGGTGGTCATGCTTAACAGCTTGTATCAGTTTGTGTGCTACCACTCCTACAAGTCACGACAAATGCCTGTCAAAAATCTTCTCGCATTTGTCTTCTTCTGTCTCTTTGCCAACAGATCTTGCCAGTGGTCACTAAATGTTCCAGTTTCCTTCTTGTCAAAACAGGATTTGACAAAAACAAAAACAAAAAAAAATGATGAATGCATCTTTCTGATGTTCGTGATAAGTTTTCTTCAAGTCTTCGCCTCTTTCAAAACATCAGGGTTGGTCCTTCTGGCTGTCCAAAGATTTCAAAACTCTTATAATACAGGAGGAGGAGGAGGAGGAGAAAAAGAAGAAGAAGCAGCAGCAGCAGCAGCACGGAAAAGCTGTTGTTTTTGGTTTTACTAGACAATTTTACCTTCAGTATTTTGCCACTGCTTACTAAACAGTCTGTTCTATATGTCCATGTTGAAATTTTTTGGAATAGAACTATAGCATTTGTGTAGTTTCTAATGTAATAGGGTGGAAGTCGGTCTGCTGTCAAAAGGCCCGCAGCTGGAAACTACCCAGGTTTTCCAGAATTAGGAAACGTGTTTGCAAAGCTTAAGCCGCAGACAGCGAGGTGTCAAGTAAACACATCCTTATATCATCTACGCCTACATAACTACTAAAACGCCGTACTGTATGCAGATTCTGTACTCTATTTTAGTTTCTCTAATGCTCCCTTTGTCATCCTGGGCTCAAGATAAGCCAGGCACCCATTAAAAAAGCAATGTCTGTCTAATCAATGGAGACTTAGTGGAGACTTGGAGACTACACTGGGAATCACGGAAAAACACAAAAAATAATGAGGAAGACTGGGATACTTGAGTGATACATTCATTCATTCAGTAGCATGTCCCTCGCGGAACCTCGCTGCCATAACAACCCTCCGGAAAACCTTCCTATCATGAGCAAGATGTCCTGCGTCTGATACACCCATCTGGAGATCATCTGCCACGTCCTGCACCCATCTTCTCCTTGGCCTTCCTCTTCCTCTCTTCCCAGGCATATACCCCTCCATTATTGTTCTCTCTAGACTTCCATGACGTTTCAAGTGACCAAAATATTTCAATTTTCTTTGTTTTATTGTCTTTACTAGCCAACCCTCTTCAATATTCAGCTCTTGAAGTATGGATGCATTTGTTCTTTTCTTTACCCAAGATATACCTTGAGTGATACACTGTTTCTTATTCTTCTGATGAGTCCTTCAGTTATATAAAGATACGAGACCACTGTCATTTCAAACTACACCAGTGAATCTAATAAAACTTTAAAATTTATTCGCCACACATTTGGATAATGGAATTATATTGCCGTTTTCACTTAGGCATTGCGAGTCCGACTCATAATTCTAACGTATTGCGATTCAAACCCACTGCTGGTTGTGTGGATTTGTATCATGGTATGCGGCATCGTAGGTCGACCCAGCGTAAAATGGGTACCCGGATATATGTCCATGGGGAAATAAAGACGACCGGTGTAATGCTAACTGCATTCACCCCCCCCCCCCCCCCCCCCCCACCGCCAGTGTTGATTGATGTGTAAAAATATGGGTGCTCTTCCCATATGCCCGACGCTCCAAAAGGCGTGAAAAGGGATCTTTACTTACTATAATAAAATTTGCAAATTTCTGGAGGGAAAAACAAAAATATATTAAAAACAAATTGCATTCAAAATATCATCAGCATTTAGCAAGTCCTTTGCAGAATGTCGCTCTCATCGCAGACTGCCGAAAGGAATTCAGTCTCTTGCCGGCTCTCTCGCCTTGTTTACTTTCATACTGAATGAGTCACTTATATCCTGGGCCAATCTTCATGTTGCTTGGCTCCTGCCCCTCCTTCCTGGTACCATACCTTCTGCTATTATTTTTGTCCAATTTGCCCAGGCGCTTCATATGACCAAAATATTTCAGCTTCTGAGACAAGATGCTGTTTCTTAGCTAATCTTCCTCAATGTTAAAATCTTTTAGTATTTTTTCTATTCTTTGTTCATAGTATTCTGAGAATATTTCTATAGCATTTCAGCTCAAAAGCCCCTATTTTCTTTCTTACAGGGAGATAGTCCACGACTCACATCCGTATGTTGCTACAGGGAAGATGGATGCTCTAACAATTAAAGTTTTTATTCCGTTGCTAGTGCTTAACCATAGCCTTTTAATACTGTTTAAAATATTAGATAAAAATGCATTTGTGGGGAAAAAGGAATGTTTTTACGTGCCTTCAGATTGTGAGGCCCTTAGATGTAGCGTATTGAGTTTACACCCGAATCCGGCACCACTTATGGCGTTCCTAGTCACCTATTTTCCACAACTTCTGTCATGTGTACTTTTAATCAATTCTGACACTGATGACCTTCTATGCCGCGATGTCAGACTGCCCAGCATCTACTCTCTTGGCCTTCCTCTGCCTCTCCTGCCCTCAACTTTCTCAGCGTTACGACATACTCCAGAGTTTTCTCCTTCTCATGTCATGACCACAGAATGTAGATTGTCTCCAAACACTGTGCACAATTTGTGTTTTTGTAGGTACGCCCTTGCAGGATGGCAACTTGATTTATTTGTTACACTGTTTCTTGTTTGCTGTAGTCTTTATCTTTCAAAGGTTATGGCCACCTTTGTTGGAATGCTTGTACTAAGTGTAAGTACACAGTTGCTTTTTGACTAAACCAGACATTTGTTATCCTTCCTATAGCAAATATGGTTATATATATATATGAGGGTGTTTTAAATGAAAACTTTAAAGGTGTGACATTTATTACAATAACTATACCATTGTATTTTAACCTATGCTGTTGTTAAGGATGTCAAGAGTGTTAAACATGTAACATCACAGTGCAGACAAACATGGTGACGTCATTACATTTTTTTTTAAAATTATTTTTTTAGTAACTTTTTTCATTTGCAGTCTCTCCAAAACATATGTATTTAACTGTTCTTATTTTAATGTCATACGAACTATTCTTATGTACACCCACATTTCCAGAGTAGGGTTGAGTATACATAACAGTTAACAATTTGGGAGGTAAGTAGATGCGTTATACCTATTTTGTCAGCATACAGCTAACAGAAACATTGACGTTTGCAGAACCGATGTTCGTTCAAAGGAAGTTGGAGACCAAAACGGGTGGTGACCTTACAATGTTTGAACACAAACACTCGACAAGTACACAGTGGATTCCATTGTATTCCGCGGAATTCCAACGAGGGAGCGGATTTCACAAAATTTGTTTAAAAAAAGGTCGGTGTCTGATTTGTGTTCCTTGTTATTCTCTATATAGGTCAACTTGGCGACCAGTATGGCGGTAATTGCAGACGAGGTGTAACTATTACTTCAGAATACTGTCGGATAGTTGGAGGTATGAAGGACAGAAATGGGCTGAGGGAACTGTTTAAAATAAGTTAAGTAACGGAAAATTGTCCATGCCTGCGTGCGTACAATGTGAAGACGTTCTTGTTACGTTACTCTCATGGTTTCCCAACGTGTGTCCTATCCAGCGCCATCGTCTTTTCTTCACCTTTTGATTCACTAGTCCCAGCTACCCAGATGTTAATCCAACAGGAACAAATCGCTGATACCCCGTTCTACCTAAGAGGGGTACAGGTCACTCCTCTTTAATTATTATTCTCTTCCTCTCAATGGGCTGCATGTTACTTGGTCATCCCACGGGTGCTCAAATATATCTGTGCTATACGGCTTGTGCGTCTGTGGCGTAGGCGTTGCGAACGCGCTTCATAATGGTGGGGTGCTGGGTTCGATTCCTAGCTGCGGGCGCGATTAGGCAACAGAAAGAAAGTCTTGCGTTGGTTTCGACGACATTGGTACCAACTTGTTTGGCTTGCTTTGCTAAAAAAAAAATCGTCACAACCAACCAGCAAGGGTTAGCTTTCGGTTATAATTGTGACTATGTTATATCGACGTCATAGCCACCTCGTTTCCATGGACACAAATACAAAATGTGTAGGTTCAAGGACCCATTTGATGAAGGGGATGATGGGGGTTGGGGTGGGGGGGTGGGGGGGGACAACTACTGCTCTCTATCAAGCATGTTGTAAAATGCGACTAATTAGGGCTGTGTTTAAATTGGATGTGTTGGGTTGAAATGCAGATGTCGCAGCCTAGCAGTAAACTACAACAACGTGCCAACCGCCCGTTTAAGCGCGAATAAAAAGAAGAAGAAGAAGAAGAAGAAGAAGAAGAAGAAGAAGAAGAAGAAGAAGAAGAAGAAGAAGAAGAAGAAGAAGAAGCAGAAGCAGAAGCAGAAGAAGAAGAAGAAGAAGAAGAAGAAGAAGAAGAAGAAGAAGAAGAAGAAGAAGAAGAAGAAGAAGAAGAAGAAGAAGAACATCAACAACAACAACTGCAGCAATATGATGGTAATCCAGTGCGTTAACCTCTATATTATACAACAACATGGACGCAGTAGTGGTTGTTCATGAGGTAGAGGCAGCAGCAGACCACTGGTGGGTGACGACAGAAACAGCGGAAGCAGGAGAATTCAAGATTTAGTGTGGAAATAGCGTCTTTTCAACTCAATCACTGACGTTTTTGAACTAACTTTTCTCTCAATGTCAGTTACACTTCAAACGACTCCACTCGCATTTAAATCATGAGAAAAATTTTTTTTGGCGATGTCTAAAAACAGGGTGTCCCAAAATTGTATACACATTTTAATTTAATAACTGGTCGTTTGCTGTGCAGATTTTTTTAGGAGATGGGTGGGACTTTTCAACCGCGGACGGGGAAAGCATAAGATATATTTGGCGGACCAGCTGACGGCCTAAACAGAGAGATAAACAAATGTAAACATAATTTGTTAAGTTCAATGTTACAGTTGTTTAGCTAATGTAACGTCTGCTGCTTCTGCCCGGCAGCAAGACAATTTCATAAACGAGGCTGCAGCA